GTGTGTGTGTGTGTGTGTGTGTGTGTGTGTGTGTGTGTGTGTGTCTGAGGACAGCTCACAGAGGGTGGTGTTCTCCCTCTACCATGTGGGTTCCCCGGATGGAACTCAGCTGGGCAGTCTTGGTGGCCATGCACCTTTGCCTGCTGAGGCAGCTCATCAGTCCAAAAGATTTTTTAAACCAGCAAAAGTGGACCTGACCATGGGCAGCCTGTACTCAAGAAAGGTCCAAAGAAACTCTATTAGAGCCACAAAAATAAAAAAGTATCAAATGGAGATTAAATGGCAAAACAAAAAGGATGCTAGAGGTGAATGCATGAGAGCAAATTCTTCAAAACATTATCTCTTTAATTTTTTTATTTCTTTGAAATATGATTAAGATTTAAAACAAAATAGTAGCGCCATTATAGTGGTAGGACATAACATAAGAGACCCAAAGTATAGAGAGATAACGCTGTGTATATCAGGTAGACATTAGAAGCATATTTTTGTAAGGTTTTTATATTGTAGGTAGAGTGCTACATTGCTTGAAGGCCAGAAGATGGCTTAGCAAAGAAATGCATTTGCTGCCAAGCCTGATGACTGAGGTTGATCCCCAGGCCCCACAAGGGGGAAGGAGAGGACCAACTATTCTGCAAGGTCTGTTTGCTGTAGGTAAGAATCCCACATTAACTACAGAGATGAAAGTTAGAAGCAAAAAGTTGGAGAAACATATAAAATAAAAAACGACTTGTGAGGAAATTAGAATATTTATATTAATATAAGACAAAATAAACTTCAGAAGAAAATACTGTAAGTGATGAGAAGTATTACTCCATCCGGTAACTGGGTAGACTCATCAGAATATTTCTTGGTACATATGCATTAAAAATAGCACTTCAAAGTATATGAATCTGAAACTGGTAGTCATGAAGGAGGGAAAAAAGCAAAGCGATAATTTTAATTGAAGACCTTGCAATAATCTCAGAATAATTGGTAGCATGCACAAAATAAGTCACATCTTAGGTTTTGTCAGCATCTTAGTTTACATATGTATTAGTCCATGTTTTATTACTGTAATGAAACACCCAAGACTGGTCACTTCTTAAAGAAAATAGGTTTATCTAGTTACAGGCTTGGAGTCCAAAGGCATGATGCTGGCATAAGTTGGGCTGTGATAAGGACCTCCTGGTGGATGGTATCACAATAGTAAGAGCATACAAGAGGGAGAGATCACATAGTGACATCAGACCTCAGAGAGTGTCTCAGACAGCAGGATATGTCTCCTATAAAATAAGAACAGAGAACTCACCAGTATCTCATAAGAACCACATAGATTCTTTCTATGAAGAGTGTCCTCATCCAGCTAATTGTTTCTCATTGGTGTTCATCTCTTACAAGTTCAATACTTCCCAATACATCACACCAAGAACCGAGCTCCCAACACAGGAAGGAACTCTTGGGAGACACATTCAAAGCGACTGGGAACCTTAGTAGCATAGAAGAGTTGGGGAATTATTAGAAACCAACTGAATGTAATTTTCATTTATATACCCTAGCCCGCAATGACATGCTACATTATCTTTTTTTTTTTTTTTCCAGAGCTGAGGACCGAACCCAGGGCCTTGTGCTTGCTAGGCAAGCACTCTACCACTGAGCTAAATCCTCAACCCCAGCTACATTATCTTATCTGATGTGCATGATAGAGTCAAAGATAGACAACATTCTGGATTGTAAAGCAACTTTCAAAAAAGTATAAGATGATTGAAATATTTATAAACAATGTTCCTGAGCAACAATAATGTCTTAGTTACTTTTCTATTGCGGACTAAAATATCACAAACAAAGCAGTGTACAGGAGAAAACATTTAATGGAGGCTTACAGTTTCAGAGGGTGAGTTCACAACCATCATGGCAGAGAGCATGGTGGCAGGTAGAGAGGCATGGTATGGGATGTGAGAGCTCATATCCACAAGTACCAGGCAAAGAGAGAGATATAACTGGGCCTGCCATGGGCTTTTGAAAACTCAAAGCCTGCCTTGAGTGACACACCTCCTCCAACAGGGCCACACCTCCTAATCCTTCCTAAAACAGTTCCACCAACTGTGGACCAAGTATTCAAATCTAAGAGCCTATGAGACTCTTATATTCTCATTCGAACTACCACAAGCAATACCAAACTAGGCACCAAATATTTAAAAAAAAATTCTGGAATATCCACAAATAGAAAATAATCAACACATTTCCCAATGACTAATCATTACTCAGAGAGGACACCAGAAAGAAAATTAGAAAATAATCGGATGTGGGTGAAAACACAAGAGGTCAAAAATCAAGGGATTGATGTAATATCGTGTACTAAGGGGGAAAAAAATCCTAACATTGTATGATCATGCCATTATAGAGGACAAGGTACAAAACCAGTCATCCAGTCACCAATCTGAACAATCTAAAGAAGCAGAATGAGGGTCAGCAACTAACCCTCATGGAGGAAAAGAAACACTAAGAAGACAATAGACCCCAGCTGAGTATAAGAAAAGCACAGTTGCAAACAGGAAATAACACCAAGGCCCATAGTTGAGACAGTGAGGCCTGTCTCAAGGAACTAACAAGAAAGCCTTATGACTTTCAAGTAAATGTGACTTCTGAAAAACAGATGAGGCTAGCAAGGTGGCTCAGAGGGTGAAGGCCTCGCTATGAAAGCCTGGAGACCCAAGTTCTGTCCCTGAAATTCATATGAAGGTAGAAGGAGAGAACTGACTCCACAAAGTTGTCCTCTGACCTCCACATATGTGTGCCATGGTACTTGAGCCCACCAAACAAATCACACACACACACACACACACACACACACACACACACACACACACACACACTTGAGCCCACCAAACAAATCACATACACACACACACACACACACACACACACACACACACTTGCACAAATAAATAAATTTTAAAGTGAAAAAAGGCTATACAGCATAATCTCTAAAAAGTTGATTCAAAATTATATATATAATTTATACTCAGAAAATCCCCAGATAACACTTGTCTTAGTGTCTTTTCTTTTTGTTAAGATTAAGTACTCTGGGGGGAAAAACATCAACCCAGGGGAGAGAGGCTTTATTCTGACTCACGGTTCAGGAGCACAGTCCATCCATCGCAGCAGGGATATCAAAGCAGTGGGACATCACACAGGCATCATAGTCAAGGAACAAAGAGTGGCGAGTGCACACTGCTGCACAGAGTTCCTTCTCCACTTACAGAGTCAAGGATCCCACCTGGAGAATGGTGACACCCACAGTGGTCAGGACTTTCTGGACCAGGCGTCTTCTTCTGGTTCCCCAACCAGCTCCCAAATCATGACACAGGGACCTCTTACTAGTTATGAATATTCAGCCTTACCACGTGCTTGTCCCACTAGCTCTCAAGGCTTAGCCTGTTTCTCTTCATCTAAGTTTTGCCTCAGAGCCTTTTACCTTTCTTCCTTTCTGTAGATCTTACTTTCTTGCTCTCTCCATGTCCGGCAGGTGGCTGCCTGGCTTCTGACCCTGGTCATGTTCCTCTCCCTCTTTCCTCCTTCTCTCTTCTCAAGTCTAGATTCCTCCTCTGTCTATCCCTCTCCTGCCTAGCTATTGGCCATTCAGCTTTTTTTTTTTTTCCCCAAGACAGGATTTCTCTGTGTAGCTTTGTGCCTTTCCTGGAACTCACTTGGTAGCCCAGGCTGGCCTC